GGTCTATGGGGGCTCTGAGGGGTCTATGGGGGCTCTGTGGGGGCTCTGAGGGGTCTATGGGGGCTCTGTGAGGGCTCTGAGGGGTTTCGGGCCTTTCTCCCCACGGGGCACTTCGGCCCAGCTCTCCCGAAACTTTGTTATCCTGCAGCCGGAGCTGCCGCCTCACATCGCGGTGGTGTGGCCGAAAGCTGCTGCGTTTTTACGTTTGTCCCACCTCCTGGTACCACCAACATCTGAAATCGGCCATAACCCAGTCTAAGAATCCTGCTCGGCTTGAAGGTGCTTCCTATAATTTAGTAAGTTTACTCCTTTGCTCCGGCGTGTGTTTTACCTGCTCCTGAACTAGAGAAAATAGATATTCTCCTATAGTTTATGTTTTCTGAGTTCTCCAGAAGGATTTGCATAAATGCACTGAAAGCTGAGCCACCTTCGTTAAAATTAATCATATGCACAAGTCTCTGTGTGAGTAAGATGTGAAGTGCTCAGCCATGTGGTAATAACTCATTCTAGATGACATACAGAATTTACTGAATTCTAATAAATTGTATCAACATTTGGGAACAGTTTACTTCACATTAGAGAACTGCACAAGACTCAAGAGCAAGTAGTGTTTGTTGGAGCTGTGCCTGGATCATTCTGGGTAAAGTGGTGGCCTAAGTGGATAAAATACATTCAGGTTTGTTTCATTACTGAGCTGATCGTTACTAAAAAAAAAAAAAATAAAAATGGGAGCGTCCTTGCTTTTCCCTAGGAGATTCATTAAAGTTGATACTCAAAAGGTGGGACTGGCACGAAGGTGTGTGGTTGTACCCAATTATTTCTGATGCATTAGGTATTTACTGAGAGCTGTGAATTCACCTCTGGAGACAGCCACCACCAGTGCAGGTTGGTGGGGATTAGATGTGTAAAACATGTTCTTCTCTTTCTTAGCCTGGTTGTTTGGAACGACTGTCAGCATGGAAGATCATGGGATCACTCACAGTGAGGGAGAGCAGCACACATCTCCTCCACCATTTCTGGGAGAGGAAGAAGAAGAAGGTGCAGCTGCTCAGTTCTGTGATGTGGAAGGACCCTGGGAAGGTGAAAATGATGGCTTGTTTTGATAACTCACAAAAATCCTGACATTAGTGTGAAGTTCACGTAAGGTAAACATGTGATGTTATAAAATGTCATCTCTGATTCTCGGCAGTGTGATTTGACAGCAAGTGTATAAAACCTTGCATTTTAGGGGTCAGTCTCTTTATTAAGCTGTTGTTTCAATATCTGTTAGAATACGAGCTGGAAGAAAAGTTGGTTGGTGGTGGCAAGATGGGAACCAAGGACACCTCTGGAGATGATGGAGACCAGTCTGATTCCAGCACGTAAATACCTTGTTCCGGTTCTAACAGGAATTTCCTTTGTCATGTTGACTGACCAGCTGTATAAAATAAGTTTTAAAATAAGTTTATTTTAGAATGTTCCCACTAAAGTTCTAAACTCTTGTTCAGGAACACTAGGATTGCCAACTCTAGGTGGGATCAAGAGGAGACACAAAGGCAGATAATTAATATATTAAATGAGGGCATAAGTGTTCAGCATTAGATATCCAAGTCTAGAAATCCTGCCTTAAGTGTATGTGTGCAAACTGCTTGTGCAGTTTGGGCTCACGTGTTTCCTTATTTATCCTGGTTGTATTTGTAACACTTCTGCTAGAATAAAACAGAAAACAAAGCTCAGGTAGCTTTCCAGTTTTTCGTTATGTTTCATTGTTCATCGTGTGTTTGGATTCCAAGGGGAAGCTTGGAGCAGCGTTTGGGGGACCTTAACAATGCTCAGGCTCTGCAGTCTGAGAAGAGAGTTCACATAGCAGCCATCCAGAGGAACATAAAACTGCTTGATGACATGGCCAATGAAAAGGAACTGGTGGTCCAGAAAACCAGGTTAGTGTTTAATTGAACATAATCCATCACCATAAATCACCCACGAGTGCTGGGATACTGTATCAGTAATAAGTGTTACACTTTATAAATAAACCATAGCCTGTAGGAATCCTAGCTGTGAATCTTGCCCTCAGGAGGAAGAGTTTCACTGGAGAGAGTAAAGAACTTAGAAAATGTAAGTGCTCTGTTTGTTTCTTGCAGACAAAAGCTGGATGCCTATCGACTGCTGATC